CCACACCCAAGGACCTAGAAAGCCACATATGGCCTCAAGGCCCCAGGTTCCCCACCCTTGTAACCACTATGTTTCTATTAACACAGCATTAAATTGTTTTGGTTGTTTTGACTGTCACATCCCGCTATTCATTCATGATGAGTTTATTATAGGCTGCTAAAGTCTTTATGTCACAGGATTGTGGGATTAAGATCTGGAAGAGAATTTAGAGATCATCTAAACCAGTGTCTTTATTTTATGGCCCAGGAAACCTTCTTCTGCTCCCATATTGAAAAGACATGCCCATAAGAACAGATCATATAGGTAATACATGGGAGAACAGAGAGTCATAGTCAGTCCTTCTGGCTATGAATCCAGACTTTATTCTAACAAGAAATGTAAGGGGAGGGGGAGGAAGAGGGAAGGGATCAGTGAGTGCAGGGGTTTGCTGGTAAATGATTAACAACAGGCTCTCAACCTACAACATCCTTTTAAGTTTAATCTTCATTATTAACATTTTCTCCATCATTTTCCTAAGTCTAAACAATTACAAAAATCAAATGTATCAAGTCCTTATTGTTTATTTCCAATGTGTAAAGCTCGTACTAAAAAAAATTAACATTTGACTCTCAAGACCTAGCTCCAGCATACCAGTGGGTAGCTGGTACTTTGTTCCAGGATGTAGAAATTTAGGAGAAACTAATAGCACTTACAATTCTTTAACCAGATGAAACAACTGAGCTTAGCATCTAGTTAGCAAGAAAAGTAGTTAAAATAGTTAAAACCATCAAACTGCATTTTCTCACTATAGCAGTGGCTAAGTAAGTTCACAACACTGTAACATCATGGTTAGAGCCCAAATGACCTTCAGAGGTCATCTAACATTACCCTTTAATTTTATGATTGAGGAAACTGAGGAATAGGAAGGTAAAGGGATTTGTCCCTGGCCACCCTTTTAGCAGGCACAAAAGGGAGAATTTGAAGAGAGGTCCTCAGTGTCTGCTCCTTCCTAGATCATCCTTACTCTTTCCCTCTCCCCATAGTGGCCTTCCCAGCAGTGGTCTCAAGGTGTTTCTGAGTGTCTATCTTCCACCTACAGGGTAATGTCCCAAGCACTCCCTCCCTTCTCTCTCCACCATCTGAATTTATTTTTAAAGTTGATTTTAATGGTTCATTTTGTACCACTTGCCCTGGATGCAAAAGTTGCTAGCTATGTCTCTGGTTTCATCATACTTTGGCTATTTCATAAGAATTGTTGTCTAGCTTTACATTTACCATCTTGTACTTTTGCAATTGATTTTTTAAACCTCTAAGTATGGTCTTTTACATATACCTCCTTAAATTTGGGCCCTTTATTCTGGGCTATTGAAAGGTTTTTAGAATCTAGCTGTGACCCTCCCTCAATGTCTTCACTCTCCCTCCTAGTTTTGTGCCACATGCTAATTGATGAGCAGACCATCTCTATCTTCATCCAAGTCAATGATAAAGATATTGCCCAGAGCAAGGCTGTGGACAGGTCCCTGAGCCATTGCTCTCAAGGCTTCCTTCCAAGCTGACATCAGTCCATTAGTCACGATAGTTTGTATCAATCACTCAAGTGGTTCTGAATTCACTTACACTGACCATCGTCCAGCCTACATCTTTTCTACAAATATGGCATGAGAAACTTTATCTAATGCTATATTGAAAAAAAGGCATATTCTCTCTCTGGTATTCTCCGGATCTAAAGAAAGAAAGAGAGAGAGAAGGAAAGAAAGAAAAAGGAAGGAAGAAAGGAAGGAAGGAAGGAAGAAGAAGAAAGAAAAAGAAAGAAAGAAAGAAAGAAAGAAAGAAAGAAAGAAAGAAAGAAAGAGAGAGAGAGAAAGAAAGAAGGAAAGAGAGAGAGAGAAAGAAAGAGAAAGAAAGAAAGAAAGAAAGAGAGAGAGAGAGAGAGAGAAAGAGAGAAAGAAAGAAAGAAAGAAAGAAAGAAAGAGAGAAAGAAAGAAAGAAAGAAAGAAAGAAAGAAAGAAAGAAAGAAAGAAAGAAAGAAAGAAAGAAAGGAAAAGAAAGAAAGTGAAAGGAGACTAGTTTGGCATAAACTCTTCTTGAGAAACCCATTTTAGTTCTCTGGGTAAATGCACGGTCCCTATGGTAATAAAAATGAAATGGAAGTGGGCTAAGAAGCCAAATCACAGAATCCGAGAGTAGCAAGGGACTTGTATGGCTAGCTAGTCAAACTCATTAATGAAAGGCATCCCCACTTTAACAAAGACAATAAAGGACCATCTGGCTCAAAGGTTTCCAAAGAGGGGGAAGCAAATCGTCTCTCCAGGCAGAGGATTTACTTTTGTTTGTTTGTTTGTTTGTTTTAACTGGATCTTGGGTCAGCTAAGTAGTTCAGCAGATAGAATTCCAGGCCTGGAGTCAGGAAGACCTGAGTTAAATCTGGCCTTGGACACTTAGTAGCTATGTGACCCTGGGCAAGTCACTTAAGTCTGTTTGTCTCAACAAAAAAAAAAAAAGGAAAGAAAAAAAGAACATAAACTGGATCTTCCTTTCTTATTCAGACTGGAATTACAGCAGCCATCCACTACCAAGAGGCATGACAGTTTTGATTTGCTCCATTTCCATTCTAGGCTTATTCATTCCTCACTCATGGTGGCTCACCATATTGGTACCAGACTTAGTGTAGATATCTTATTGGTTTAGTCCTACTGTAGCTGAGAACTCCCAAGCTCAAATGATCCCCAGCCTCACCTTCCCCTCAGGAATTACAGGCATGCACCACCATTCCCAGCCCCCATTCCCCTTTTGAATAGTTCATTAGGAAGGTTTCCCTTAGTTGGCTTTTCTTTTTTTGCACGTGGTACAGCCCTCGTGCTCCTGATTCTGCTTTCTAGAGCCAAAGATAACAAGTAAAATCCCTTCTCCACATCATATTTGAACAAAGCTACTATGCTCTACTTGAGTTTTCTCCAGATGAAACATGCCCATTTTCTTCAACTGACGCTCACAGTGACATGGATTCGAGGCCCTTCACTATGCTGGCTGCCCTCCTTCACTATGCTGGCTGCCCTCCTTTTGACCCTTTCTAACTTATCAATTTCTCAATTAAACTATGGCACCTAGAACAGAATACAAAACTGCAGATGAGAAGTTTGAATTCTTTTTAGAAGGTCTTTGCCCTTTGTTCTGATCATCCCTTCCTCAGAGGGCCGGTCCTCTACCAAGTACTGATCTCATGAAGGGTGTACATCTCTGGGAGCTATGGGAAGTAAAAGGATAAATAGCTTGGTCTTTCACCTACACGAATGAAACAAGGTGGGAGAAACTCTCAGCCCGCCCCATCCTGTTGCTCTTCTGTGACTTCTGAGATTTATAGTTTGGTCAATCCCCTGGTGCCAACCCTGTCTATTCCCACCCTACTCCATCTCTACCTAAGAGATATGATTGGTTTCATTGGCCCTCTGCCTTTTATAGGACACTTGGGGGAAGCCTGAGCTAAAATGAGAGGAAACCAACCAGAAGTTGATTTAAGCTCATCTTGTATAGTGCTCTATATACTCTGTATTTACTTAAATGTGTACCTGTTGTATCTTCCTCCACCAAGATCTCTGAGAGTAGATACTGTTTCGTTGTTGTCTTTGTATCCCAGATGTCCTAGCTCAGTGCCTGCCTCATATGAGTGCTGTTGAACTGAACTGGACATTGAGAGGCAGTCAGAGTAAGCTGAACGCTAGGCTCCCTGGCAATTGTCCTCAAGTTTGACAAGCTGTGGGATGGGAAGTAGTGATGTACACTGGCTACACACAGGCTGGACTTACCCAGACTGATACAGTGTTCTTGTGAAGGTCAGCCAGACAATCCCGGAATTTGTGGAACACACAGAAAAGAGAAAGATAACAGTAGTCACCAGGGAAAGAAGGAAATGTTTCTGACATTTGGACTTGGAGTGGAGACACCCTGAGCATCCATAGTCTGAGATTAGGGGCCCAATTTTTATAGCACCCCCCCCCCCAATAATAAGGAGGAATGTTCTTTAAACAACCTCTGATAAGAAGTTTTAAGATGGGTGATGACCTGCATTTGGGAGGTGTTTCCTCACTGGGAGTATCTTATACTGATAAAATCACAAGTCCAGCCACACACTTGAAAACAAAAAGAAAGAAGCCTTGAAACATTCACTGCTTGCTAAATATGGGCTCTCTTTGCAGTAAAACTGTGGCATAGTGAGAAATATGTTGGATCTTGATGAAACGTAATATAATGTAAGAACTGGATAGACTCCCACACTGGACATTTGCTATCTATGTAATTATGGCCATTTAATCTCTCTGAACCTCAGTTTCTTCTGTGATCCAGCCAATGAGCATTTATTGAGCATTTCCTCCATACCAGGCATTGTGCTAAGTGCTAGAGGTAGAATGAAAGACCAAAAAAAAACCCAACAAAAACCCAAAAAACCCAATCCCTGCTCTGAAGAAGCTCATGGTCTCATAGGGGAGACAACCTGCGAATAACCCTAGGTACGAAGAAGCTATTTTGTGGTTGCTATTGTTGTTTAGTTCCAGTTGCGTCTGACTCTTTGTGATCCCGTTTGGGGTTTTATTAGCAAAAACGCTGGAATGGTTTATCATTTCCTTCTCCAGCTCATTTTTACAGATGAGGAAACTGAGGCAAAGAGAATTAAGTGACTTGTCCAGGGTCACAGAGCTAATAAGTGTCTGAAGCCAGATTTGAACTCAAGAAAATGAGTCTTCCTGACTCTAGACCTGGCACTCTATCCACTATGCCACCTAGCTGCCCACAAATAAGTTATAGACAGGATAAATACCTAATGTTTTGTAATATAGGTAATAGGGGTATTGTGATACCAGCCTCATGAGGTTGGTGTAATATGATCAAATGAGACCATATTTATCACATACTTTTAAAATCAAATATATATATATGCATATATATAATATGCATATATATATATATATGTCAGCTATGGTAATTATTATTTGAATCACAATTTATGAATTTAATCCCAATCTCACCTTGGAAGGCTTGTGACCCACACTTTACACAGAGGTTCTGGACAACATCCATAGTGGAGCCCAGAAAATTCCTTTGTTTGGCTTCTAGGAAGTTTCAGAGAGTCTCATGACACCAAGGGCCAGGGTACACTTTGGGAAGAAATCCAGGAACAATTAAACATGAATTTCTATGTAGTCCCAATACCATAAGATCAATTTGAAAACACACAGTTGAATCACAAAATTACAGAAGAACAGAGAAAGGAAAATAAAACCGGGACCCTTGAATGAGTAACCATTAGCCCCAAAGATCTAGGTAAATCCCAATAGTCATAGCCCCAGATATGAGGACTCTTCTGGCAAAGGTCCTCATCTTCAGTCACAGTTCAGTGACCACAATTGAAGGAAGGGTCGTCTTCTTTTTCTTCATCTCCACAGATTCCCAGCATTCCTCCTGCTTTTCCCCCAAGCAGCTAGATTTGGAGTTGAAGGAATTGATTTAAATGCTGGCTCTGTCCTTTATAACCTGGGACCTTGGCAAAGTAACTTGATCTTTCCAAGTCTCAGTTTCTTCAGTTGTAAAATGACATTAGATTAAATAAAGTCTAAAGTTCATTTTCTTTTTTGCTTTAAATCTGTAATTTAAGTGGAGTGGTTTGCTATTTCCTTCTCCAGCTCATTTTACAGATGAGGAAACTGAGGTAAATAGGTTTATGTTATATATAGTGTTATACACACAGTGCCACATAGCTGCCCCGTCTCTATCACTTATGGATCACTGAGAACCAGAATGATTTGTGTCTACAGCACAGTCCTTAAGAACAAAAAAGGTTTCAGAGATCAAAATTTATGTTCCTTTGGACTGAGCACTTGAAGGTAAGGGTATGATACCTTATGTGGACAGAGAGAAGGGAAAGAGAGGGGGGGAGGGAGGGGGAGAGAGAGAGAGAGGAGAGAGAGAGAGAGAGAGAGAGAGAGAGAGAGAGAGAGAGAGAGAGAGAGAGAGAGAGAGAGAGAGAGAGAGAGAATGAGAGAGAGAGGGAGAGAGAGCTGTGTTGTCCAACTGGCCAGTTCCAGTTGGGTCCCCAGTGGAGCAGTTTCTCTTTCTACTCACAAAAGTTATTGTTCATTCTTAGTTCTCAAAGAGGACCATGGAATCATGGGGGTGATGCCATGACATGCAAGTGAATTGGATTTAAGTGAGGGAGGGCTGTGCAACATCACCAGCCTCACTTTCTCCTTTGGAGCTATCTGGGTCCAGTAGCAAGATATAGGTCAGGATGACTGGAGATGGCCATGGATGCAATGGGAGACCTTGGCCTTTTTAAACTAAAGTATTTCCCAGGTCTCAGTTTGACTGAGGCAATGCCCATTCAGAGATTAAGGCTAGGTAAGAAATAAGGCAGAGAATGGCCTCTTTACCCAGTTCAAAAAAAAGAATATAAATCAATCTAGAAGGGAAAGACCTTCAGGGTTTCTGGCAAAAAAAAAAAAACAATTGCTATTTACATTCACTCTGAGTCATTCAGGGCTCAAACAATGACTTAGTGGGGCTTGGACTGGGACCCATTGTTGCCCAATCAACGACAGCCAGAGTGATTTAGGTTTAAGATGTGGTCCTTTAAGAAAAAACAGGTTTCAGAGATCAAAATTTACTGAATTGGTATTGCCTCAGTCAAACTGAGACTGTTAAAGACCTTAGCAACAACAACCACTTAGTGATACTAAAATCCAATACAAGTTATCTGCAAGAATGATAACTGAAAGTGACCCATGTATTCTCCTCTCACCACTCTCACAGGATCCCCTGGAAGTACCACCAAGCAAAGTACAAACATCTCATTGATAAAGCTGAGGCGTGTGTAGTGATGATGAGAATGTCAAGACATTGGGAAATCACCAAACACCACGATGAGTTTTCCATTATATTGGATTTTCACTTTGGATGGGACATGGAATTACTTGGATCAGACTCTAGATTTCTACAGTGGACTCAAGTCTAGGATACCTTTGGTGACCATAGGTCTCAGATTTTTTAGGACAATCCAGATTTGGGGAAAAGAAAGTATATTTTAATGAATTCTTGGAAAAGGTATTAATACCCTTATTAATAAAGGTATTAATTAAGATATTAATAATGTAGTAAAATAATCAATATATTAACTAATAATTGCTAGGGGTATTGATAATATTTAATAATTTAAAAGGTATATAATAATAAAGGTATTAATATCCTAATATCAGGACAGGGGTCCTGATTTTTAGTGTGTAAAGTATGGTCACTAATAATGATCTAAATGTTACCTATTATTAAGTATATGTTATAAATAATGTCTTCCTTGATAGAATGCAAAATGCCTTAAGGAATTATTTCATTTTTGTCTTTGTAGACCCTGGCACATAGTATGTGCTTAATAAATGTCTTCTGATTGATTGAAGCATGTCAGTGGCTTCAAGCTATATGAACAATTGATATTAAAAAGATATGAAAAGGATATCTAGGTGGCATAATGGATAGAGCACTGGCCCTGGAGTCAGGAGGACCTGAGTTCAAATCCAGCCTCAGACATCTAATACTTACTAGCTGTGTGACCCTGGACAAGTCACTTAACTCCAGTGCCTAGCCAAAAAAACCAAAAACAAACAAAAAAACCCAAAATATATATCTTTGGGGCAGCTAGGTGGCACAGTGGATAGACCTTTGGCCTTGAAGTCAGGAAGACCTGAATTCAAATAGGGCTTCTGACACTTGACATGTACTAGTTGTGTAACCCTGGACAAGTCACTTAACCTCGATTGCCTCACCAAAAAAGGAAAAAAAAAAGGGATAAAAAAAAGGGGGTAGGTAGGATTTGTATGGGATAGATTATAGGTTGCTCCTAAAACCTCATGCAACATTATTTGTATAATAAGCCCAACTAGGCCTGGGACTAACTAGATTTCCTTATGTTTCTGTTTACTTAAATGTTTAATAAGAGATAATAATACATGGGATCAGAAGACTGGGGTTTGAAACTCAACTTACTGCTTTTGTCTCTTTGGTCAAGTCACTTAAACTCTCTGAGTCCGTTTCCTCATCTGTAAAATGAGGCATTGCACAAGATAATCTCTAAGGACTCACTCAGCACTAAATCTATATTTTTATTTCCCTATATCCATTCACCCGGCCCACGGCCCCCCCCTTTTTTTGCTTGTAGGTTTCCTAGGTAGAAATATCCCTTAACTTAAGTGATTTCTGGTTTCCTTTCATGAGGGAGTTCATAGAATCAGACTGTTGAATCTGGATGGAGCCCAATTTCTTCATATTACAGTGTCAACTGGGCATCTTCAATACTATCTCCTACAACAATCGGGGCTCAGTCTTGAAAGTTTCCCTCTAATAATAGCCTATATGCCCCATGTTTGTTCCACTTAGGGAACAGGCCTTAGAAACATCTGAATTTGTCTTGTTCCTAACTCTTTCCCTAAAGATATTCACACACACAAGAATACAAACATGCCCCAACCTTCCAGGGAACACAAACATTTACAAAGCATATAGAGAACAGAAAAAGGACTTATCTTTGAATCCAGTTAATAAATAGCATCATTTCTCAACTCTCTTCTCTCTTCCTTTATGCAAAGCAAACTCATAATACCAGTAGGAAAAGCAGCAGTAGTATGTCTTCTCATACTACTGGTACTGGCTGTAAATTGGATACTGGTCTAGGATTAGAATTAGGCTCAGAGCCCCTCCTTGCAGCCTGCTCCGTGGCTTCTGCCAACTTGCAGCTAGAAAATCCCATTGAGGGTCATCTCCAGTTGTCCTGATCTACATCTTGCCACTGGACCCAGATGGCTCTGCAGGAGAAAGTGAGGCTGGTGACTTTGCACAGCCCTACCTCACTTAAATCCAATTTTCTTGTAAGTTGTGACATCTCCTTCCTGCTGTCATGGTCCTCTTTGAGAACAAAGGGCAAACAACAGCAAAGAAATCCATCTATTCCCTTGTGACTTCTCCCTCCCAGAAGCCTCTTTTTGCTTACAGATTTTTTGTTTAACAGACATCTGCTCTTGGGTTCTCTTCTAGTCACTATGGTTAGCCAGAATCATTTTCAGAATCATTCAGATTTAGGGGCATAAAACCTCTTGTATATGCCTGCTACATTTAATTTTTAATTACTTAATTTTTATAAGTATTTATTATCTCTTCCTCCTCCTACTCCCCTACTGAATAATAAAAATAAAAATGAAACTCGTAACAAACGTACACAGTCCAGCCAAACAAATTCCCACATTATTAGTCTTGCCCAAAAGTATATATCTCATTCTGCATTTTAAGTCCATCTCCGGAGGTGGATGGTGTGTTTCAGCCTCAACACTCTAGATTTTTCCCCCAGAGCTCTCAAGTCTTTCAAAGTTCTTTTTCTTTATAAAATTATTGTCTTTGTATAGACCATTCTCCTAGTTTTATAACTAGGAGACATTCTTAGTTTCCCCTGAAAATGTCCATTTTGTTATTTCTCATGGCACAGTAATATGCCATTGCATTCATAGACCATAATTTGTTCAGCCATTCCCCATCTAATGGGTTTCTTCTTAGTTTCTCATTCTTTGCCACTACAAAAAAAGTTGCTATAAATATTTTTGCATATATGAGTCCTTTCCCTCTTTCTTTGATCTCTTAGATTAGTCATTTTTGGGGCATTGTTCCAAATTGCCTTCCAGAATCACTGGACCAGTTCAAAGCTCCACAAACAGTGCATTAGTGTGCCCTTTTTCCCACAGCCCCTCCAACATTTGTCATTTTGCTTGCTACATTTTAGTTGAGGAAACTGAAAGGCCTAGAGATGAAGTAAGTTGTCCAAGGTCACACAGCTAGATATTGCCCTTCCTGCTCTCCAGTCCTGTGATTCTGAGCCCACTTAGTCTCTGAGTGTCCAGGGCTATCTCTGGAAACCTAGACCAATCTTATCTGTCATTTGACTGCTGCGTGGCTGAGGTAAGGAGAAGGGGGAACTTGGTAGTGGGGGGTTGGACAGGACAAAGTCAAAGAAGAGAGGCTGTTAACAGAGAACTGTTGCTTTGGGATTCCTGGCAGTAAAAAACCTCATTCACTGCCAGCTGAGGCACCTCAGGCATTCACTGTTTGGCTCCTTCTCAGTGCACACAGATCTGTTCCTTGATGTTCTTCTAGACTCTAGAGTGTTTAATCCCACCAGACCAGATTTCAGGGATTCCTGGAATTCTACCAAAGAACAGCCTAGGAACAGACACTTCCTTCTTTGCTGCCTACCCCCCACAGATCACAGGGTTCTGCTGGATCATTCCTTCCTCCTGGCCTCAGCAGGAGCAGGTGAAAGAAAGTACAGAGAACATTCATTGCTCTTCTGGCTGGAGTTGCCAGGGCTTCCTCCACTAGCAAGTAGATCATGCTTGAATGATGTGTTGGAATGTGGCAAAGCACTCAGTGTGCCATCATGACCCCCTCAGCTCTCTGGCATTAGACACTGGTCAGTGGAGACTGGGGGGAGCATCACATGCTCTTCCTACTCAGTGGTAAGCCACAATCAGTTCTTAACTAGGAAAAGGAAGGGAATTTGTTAATTTGTTATTATGCATTTATTATGTACCTACTGCATGCCAGAGCACTA